GTGTCCGGATCAGAGACAGTGTCCGGATCAGAGACAGTGTCCCCGGATCGGAGACAGTGTGTCCGGATCAGAGACAGTGACCCCGGATCAGAGACAGTGTCTTCATTTCTGACAGACTTTTATCAGCCAACTGAACTTCATTCATCGATGACAACAGTCGCAGCCTGTTGTCTGAGGGTTCACATGGAGGACAGCGTGTTCAGATCATTCATTAGAAATGAGATGAATCATAAACACGTCACTTTTAGATCGTTTTAATTAGTAATTAACTGTAGAGAGCTGCACTCTGGGTAATTATATTCACAGTAACAGACACGTGTTCTAATGACCAGTGAAAGGTTCAACTATTCATTAGCTAATTTACCATGAGAACAATTAACCTGTGTAAACAATCCACAGCCTGGGGGCTAACTGTTAGCTTTAGCTGTTAGCCAGCTGCGGCTGGAGGAAGTGTGTCAGCTGATGTGCTAACAGGGAGCTAGCTCTGCCACTTACAGCACACAGATGCTACATGAGTTAGCTCGTTGATTCCGACATTAACTGTTGAATTAAACCACATCCTGTATGAAGCGCGTTCCTGCGGCTCTTTGTCTGGAAACATAACTTAGCTTGTGTTTGGTTAGCTGGTGCTAGCTAACACCAGATGAATGTTGTGGTGGGATGCTAGCTGCTACATGAATGATTAGCACATGATGCTAAGAGACCGTGTGTCCTGAGTGAAGGTTTGACCGAGTCTCACCTGTTCCTGTAGGCTGTGGACATGTCTGGACACACGGAGGACTTTCCTCTGACTGTCTCCAGGAGAACTGAATTACTGGACACCGGAAGTCACAGGGCAGTCCTGCTGCCGTCACTTCCGGTCCGTCATAACCACAACACCGGGAGAGTCCGGGTCCTCTCAGAGACACAGTCCGCTGAGGACACCTCTCAGAGACACAGTCCGCTGAGGACCTCTGCTGCCCGGGTCCTCTCAGAGACACAGTCCTCTGAGGACATCTCTCAGAGACACAGTCCTCTGAGGACACCTCTCAGAGACACAGTCCGCTGAGGACACCTCTCAGAGACACAGTCCGCTGAGGACCTCTGCTGTCCGGGTCCTCTCAGAGACACAGTCCTCTGAGGACACCTCTCAGAGACACAGTCCGCTGAGGACACCTCTCAGAGACACAGTCCGCTGAGGACCTCTGCTGCCCGGGTCCTCTCAGAGACACAGTCCTCTGAGGACATCTCTCAGAGACACAGTCCTCTGAGGACACCTCTCAGAGACACAGTCCGCTGAGGACACCTCTCAGAGACACAGTCCGCTGAGGACCTCTGCTGCCCGGGTCCTGTCAGAGACACAGTCCTCTGAGGACATCTCTCAGAGACACAGTCCGCTGAGGACCTCTGCTGTCCGGGTCCTCTCAGAGACACAGTCCKCTGAGGACACCTCTCAGAGACACAGTCCGCTGAGGACCTCTGCTGTCCGGGTCCTCTCAGAGACACAGTCCGCTGAGGACTAAATCCTCAGCATCACCTTCAGCACCATTTATTAAATGTAATTTCAACATGTGTGTCCTCATGTGTGTCCTCAGTCCTCAGTGTTTATACCTGACAGCTGGATGGGCCCAGTTTGTTGTTGGGCTCCTGTTCACAGATTTAACTTTTAGACTCAGTCTATGAATAGAATCCAATTAAGGTTCTACAGCGGTTAAATTAAACATACTATATATATTTAACTAAGGTCAGGCACACAAAAAAGATTTGAATGGAACTCATCT